CACACACACACACACACACACACACACACTGTTATCAGACAGATTATTTAGAGCTGACAGTGGAAACAGTACATGTGCAAACAGGTGACCCACAGAACTACAGTCACCACAAATTCAACATGTCTCTCAAGCAACAATGAATGTCATTGCAAGACATTTTGGATTAGAGCTGGCAATGATCTAATCATACACTGCACTTTGAACATAACTCCAACTGGACAACAGCAGTAGCACACTACAGATAACCAAGTACACTGTTACCTTACCTTCTACTAATGCCACTGCATGTTATTGTGAAAGGAAAAAATACCGTTTGAGAAAAACATTTCAGAGTGATGAGCAAATCCACAGATTACATCACATTGTACGAGACAAACATGTGAAAAGAACGAAAAGAAAGTTTCTTCTGTTTTCAGTCAAATCTGAGCATCACTCACCTGTTTCAGCTTCTTGTCTGACTTCTTATACGCTTCATAAACCTTGGGGTCCACGCTGTACATGCACTCTGTCCACTTCCCATAGATCACTCGCCGCTTCTTCTTACTAGTTTCACAGCACAGACATTCAGTTTGCGTCAGAGAAAATGAATCAGCCACAGGTTGTTTGCAGTGCTGCTGAGCTCTTGCTCTTACCTCTTGTCTTGGATGTAACCTTCCACTTTGTGCAGCTCTTTCCCAAACATCCCACATGGTTTAAAGTTTAACACACACTTTTCTCCCGTGCTGAGGAATTAAATTTAAAAAATGTATAAATATGTTGATTTACTAGGGTTTAAATTTTGGAACACAGTATCTATCACTGTACCTGTGATTGACTATCTCCACTGTTCCGTACTGCTCAATCCAGAGTTTACCTAAAATGATATTATGCACACAGCACATTGGATTTGTCCACGTGTATGCTTCTTTATGTCTGTAAAAAAAGAAAAACAGCTTTTTAAATGAATAGTTTATCTGACAGAAAACCTTTTTATGCAGCAAAACTCACTTACAGCTGATTGAACTCTTCGCAAGAAGGCAAATAAGCTTATTTGGTAAAATGTGGAACTATTCCTTTATAGACTGCTTGGCTATATTGATGTCATGGCTGCTTGAACTTTCACATTTCTAAGCAAAATTGAGCAAGAAAGCAGGAAAGACTCAAATATTATAAAAGATGAACGACTCACTTCAGTAACTCCAGTGTCATGGTGCCTTTGGGCTCAGCCTCCACACTTTTGCCCCAGAACTTGAGTTTCGGGTAGATAGAGCCATGAAACTCGAACTCTTGCTTCAGAGACTGAGCGTGGAAGGCACTGACGGGGGGATGGTGGCTCACCTGCTCTGAGATCAATCTGTATCCCTCATCCTCTCTTTAAAAAACCCAAAAACATTTAAAACCCTCATTAATGACATTTCTAAACATTTTTATCACCAAAGCAAAAACTGTGAAGTTTCCACTGTCTTCGATTATACCTAATGAGTTCATAAGTCTCCCCCAGTAAAGGATTAAATGGCTTTCCAGTCCTTTCCCATTGAGATGCTACGGCTGAAACGGCAAAAGCAGCAACAACCTGTCACAGAAACATGAAGTGAATCAGAGCAGAGCTGCAACGATCAGTCCATTAATCAATCGACTGAAAATCAATGATTAAAATGAGTTAGCTTGAGAGGATTTGTGGCTTTTTATGTTTTATATTTAAGTAAGTTCTCATATTTTTGGGATATTTTAAGGACAAAAAAATGAATCGACAGTCACTTAATTGATACAGAAATTACAAGTGAGTTCCAGCTCAAAATTATACTCATGTGCAGGTGTCCTTAGAACGGTGATAATACAGAGGGAATGTTATCCAAGAGAAATGAAAATACAAACCATAAAATATATAATACTTAACAGGGTAATGCATTATCTCTACCTGCATGCGGTCTATGGAGTCAGATAAACTGCAGGCTTTGTGAATAAGCTGAGTGTGTTCCATGTACTCCGAGATTCTCTGGAGAAAGCTGAGCGGCTCGTTAAACTCAACCGGCATTGCTATTTTGGACAGCTCCTGTAAAGCCCCAAAAATAAAAAGTAAATCAGAATAGTGAAGTCAAGAAACGGAAGAAAAGTAAACAGTTAGAAGCAGAGGCAGGTTTTACACTTCACAGCACTGTGCCGCAAAATACTTTACTCAAACAGTTCATGCACATTATATTACACTTCTAAACAACAATAACCATGAGAATGAGAAAATTGTGACTTTAGCATTTGTAATGTTGAGATGTTCATTTGAGTCACTGCGCTTCTTTCAGACAGCTGCAAAGAAAGTATTTCCCAAACCAATTACAGCCACGTGAGCAGATAAGAGGAAAACAAGACTGATCTTGTAGCAGCGAGGAGAAAGAAGCTGAAACACGTCATTCATTTAATGAGTCTCCAAAAAAAGAAAAGAAAAGCATGTTACACCAAAACAGAACCTGAATGCAACTTGTCCGTAGCAAAGTTGACGTCAGTAAAATCATATGAAACTGTCACAGAAGCTGAATAGTTCTCTGTTCTTGTGTTCGTGTCGGGGACTCACCATGCCGATGCATTTCTTCAGAATACTCCACACACTGAAGTTGTTTCTGGAGATCATTTCCGCAGGCAGGGTTTTCCTGGAACACATTTGGACCAAAAAAGATTAAACTGATTGTGTGAAATCAGACAAAAAAAACTTCTTTTTGCAGCGTCTCTGTTAGCAGCTGTCTCTTAACGGCTGAAAAGCTTAAGTCAATAATGTGACTGATGAGCGTAGCTACACAGAGGAGGTGCTCAAAGACTGACATGTTAAAAATGCAGTCACACAGGCCTCATCTGCCTAGACCCACACTCATATGAGGAGTCGTCATGTGCTGACATGCATCCACTCATTCAGGTGTGGGCAGAAGTTTGGCCACTTGCTGAGCAAGTTATACATTAAGTTTGTTTTAAAGAGAGGAGCAGAAAAAACAACCCCTGCAGCAAACAGACACTAAAATAAACCTTTTCTTCAGTTAACTATTTCTTTTAATTTAATGAACCTGAATATAAAAAAAGTTAGACACTTCACTGCCAACGTCAGATATCATCTCCTTATATCTCTTGCAGTATTTCATGGTGGATTTTGAGATATGCTTTGGATTATTGTCCTGTTGTAGAAAATCATGAAAATCATGTTAGTGCATCAGTGTTGCACAGAGGAAGAGTTTAACCCTCCTGCAGGTCTTCAGCTGTCATATTGAGGTTTTGATTTACCTTTCTGCCAAACAGATGCACAGTTTGATCTGAGTTTACTTGATTCATCAGATCTTGTCTTTCTCTTCCATTGTTCCCCTTTGCTGTTATTTCTGTGTGACAATTCAGACAGTTGAAGTTTCAAGCTGGAAAAGCTTTCATATCTTTTTATAGCCTCCTCTGCTTCGCAGGCATCAGTTAGCTTCATCTTAAGATCCTCAGTCTGTTGCTTAGATATTGTTAGTGTGAAAGTTATCGATACTGACTGACAGAAACATTTAGTCTTCATATAACTTTGGCCTTACAGCCCAGCCCTGAACGAGTTATTGATATCCTGACTGTTTCACAAACATTAACGTCATCAACATTAGAGGAAAGACTTATTTCTAAATGTCTGTTTGCTGCAGTGGTTGTATTTTAACCATAACTCAACATGTTCCCTCTGAGAGAATCAGGTGAAAGAGAAGGAAAAGAATGTTATCAGCCAACCTGATCATGTTTTGTCTCATGAGTTCACAGTGATGCCTTCAGGCCTAAACTCAGACAGCAACCAGTTTAAATGACATATTTTATGACTGTGCTTTTTAGACGATAACACATGTAACAAATTTCTATTTATTATCTTTTATTATTGCTATTTATTTTACTTCCTTAAAGGCTCAGTGTGTAAAATGTGGGTAGGAGGGATCTATTATAATCCCAGTAATGTTTTCATTAGAGTTTCATCTAAATTGGATGAATTGTTATTTTCTTAACCCTAGAATTTACCCTTTATATTTAAATGCTTTATTTGTACGTCTGGAGCGGGTCGTCTCTATGGAGGCCACCATGTTTTTTTTACAGTAGCCCAAACTGGACAAACTAAACACCTTTTGAGTTGTTATGGCAACTGAAGGTAACCACCTCTCTTTCAGGGTGACAACTTTATTTTGAGTGTATATAACTGTAACAGGGTGGTGAACAGGATAACAGCTGTGAAACTGATTGTAAACAATAACGTAGATAAATACTGTGAATAATTAAAGTGATCAGAGTGCATTGAGGAAAGTGTTCAGCTGCAGCATGAAACTTCACCACTGAACTCTACACACTGAAGCTTTCATCTCGACCTGGACCTGTGCTCTTTGACATGTGTCATATTGGATGTTTGTGTGATGTGAAGGCTGCAGGTGAATCTGAACACTGACATGAACCCCACCAGACTGATCCCTCACCTGCGCTCCCACACTCCATTCTCCTGTGCGGCCGCCTGCTTGCTGTCCAACACCAGGGCATCTTTGAAACTGACCTCACAGGAATCATCTGACTCCAGCCCTGCAGATGATGGAGGAGGAGGAGGAAAGACACGGTTCACTCATGTCCGCGCAAAACAAGCGAATGCGACCTGCATCCTGTCCCCTTGTCTGTCCACCTCACCTGTCTCAGCGTCGTAAAACTCCTCCTCGCTGTTCATCATGAGAAAGTAAACAAGGAGTCACTCAGAAGCCATGTCCCCACCTCCGGTCTGTCCTGTCCCCGCAGCAGCCCGGCCTCTCCCCGGGCATCACTGACGTCCGCACACACGACCTGCAACACGGACACCTCGTTAGCACCGAACCGAGCAGACCCTGAGACTTCTCCTCATGCGGCCTGACACTGAAACAACAAGGGCCGTGTCAACAGCTCTGCTCTCCGGGGGGCGCTGCTAGTTAGCTGTGTGGCTAGCTAGCGTTAGCATCGCCGATTTAACTCGTCTGTGGGAGAACAACAGATTGTATATAAAGGGGGGAGGGGGGCGGAGCCAAGCTAACGTTAGCTACGCACACACACGAGGGTTCGAACGCAGCTCAGTCACACGTACCTGAGAGTTGAGGTCAAATTAAAGCGCTAAAGACGTAAACAACCGAGGAGTGGGCAACCGCTGGACCAGGGCGGAAGTGGGCGGCAAGGACAACGTGATAGACAGCGCGAGCGGGCCAATCAGATTGCCGCCAGCAGGTAAAGAGCAGATGTTGAGACAAGCCACTGTTTTAAACAACAACAACAACAACAACCACAAAAATAACCACCACCTCCACAACAACAACACCAACAACAACCACCACAACAACAACAAAAACAACCACCACCTCCACAACAACAACCACCACCACAACAACCACCACAACCACAACAACAACAACCAGCACAACAACAACAACCACCACCACAACCACAACAACAACAACCACCACCACCACAACAACAACAACCACCACCACCACAACAACAACAACAACCACCACCACCACAACAACAACAACCACCACCACCACCACAACAACAACAACCACCACCACCACAACAACAACCACCACAACCACAACAACCACCACAACCACAACAACAACCACCACCACCACAACAACAACCACAACAACAACCACCACCACCACCACCACAACCACAACAACAACCACCACCACAACAACAACAACCACAACAACAACCACCACCACCACCACAACAACAACCACCACCACAACAACCACCACAACCACAACAACAACAACAACCAGCACCACCACAACAACAACAACAACCANACCACCACCACAACAACCACCACAACCACAACAACAACAACAACCAGCACCACCACAACAACAACAACAACCAGCACAACCACAACAACAACAACAACCAGCACAACCACAACAACAACCACCACCACCACAACAACCACCACAACCACAACAACAACAACCAGCACAACAACAACCACCACCACAACAACAACAACCACCACCACAACAACAACAACAACCAAAAACCACAACAATACAGATGTGAGTTTAAAAAAGACCAAATTTTGATTAAATTTAAACTAATCAATATGTCTCCATAGAAACACACTTTAAACCATGCATTATATATATTAATAATACACTTTTTTAATATAGCACTGTCTAAAAATGCATTTTACAAAGTGCTTTGACAAAGCAAGAAAAGTAAATATAAGAGAAATAAGGTTTTGCAGGATGCAACGTGACAAGAGACCACATTTAGATCAGAAACAAAGTAGTGTTCAAATTAGATAAAAAAATATAGAGCTATGTTTTTGGTTTGTAGTTTTAGGTGACGTTTTCCTCATTTAAGTTGAGTATGTTTTTATTGCTCAGCGGACACTCAGCTGTAACACAAAATAGATAACAACATTTTGGTTATGCTCAGTTTCCCTTTGATTCACCAAGTCTTTCTGAGAATAGTTTAACAAAGTTTCCTTCAAAATACAACTGTACTCTGCACTGGGTAAATTAAAGTCTGAATGTTTGTAGAACAATTACACTTCTCATATCCCACATTAAACGTGGTGCTTTATATGCAAAGAATCCTATTTCTCTGTATGTATTTATGCTACACATCTTAAATATAATCCTAAATCCTAACCCTAACCCTCATTGCGAGCCTTTGCAGCACGAGGTTATTCACCCTATGGTGAATAAGGGTTAGGCTTGCAATGAGGGTTAGGGTTAGGGTT